GTGTGGAGAAGACAGGTGGTGTGGTTGAAAAGGGTGAGGTTTAGAAAAGTGTTGAGAAGACAGGTGGTGTGGTGGAGAAGGGTGAGGTTGAGAAAAGTGAGAGTGACATTTTACTATCAGTTCCAGATGATACAGAAGAGTGTCTTGGAAAATGTGTTGTTGTGTTATATGATGGTTTTCCATATCCTGGATACATAGATGTTTCTACCTATGATATATATGTGGAATGCATGCACAAGCCTTGCAAAAAATGGGATCAAAAATGATTCTTCTGGCCAAGACTCCTGCTGGACAAATGCTGGTACAAGCACGAGGACATTATTACCATCATTCCTGAACGAAAGAAGATTGAAGGCACTGCTTCCCACTTCAGTGTTGAAAATATTTACTGGGAAGCTATTACAGATAAGATAAAACAGAAACAATAAACAACCTGTGGTTTCTGGGTGAATGAAAGGCATCATTTAATTCTGGCACTGATCAAATAATCATAGATACAAGTGAATTGTACTTTTAAGGAAACTATAATTCACCCATTCAGACCGTTTATTTGAGTATTTGCGAATACAATTGCAAAAGAATACAGCTTCAACAGGAAATCTTCTGACAAGTTTTTTTCTCCAGATTATGTTGATGTTTGACATGGATAAAGTTGGTTATTATGTTGTTGCTTCATGACAAAAACTGTCACATGACTATTTAGTGTAAGTTTAAATCAATTTAAATTCTTTGTAATTCTAGGGATTAACCCAAAATGCAAAAGTTATTGTCTTTGGCATTACTTCCGTCTGTGCTGTTACCTACCAGTATCCTACACTCAGATTACATAGAAGAACATTCAGTTAATAACATCCATATGATCAGATACTGTTAATTAAGCAAAACATTTTCTTATTTGTCAGAGTTCAAAACTTTGAACTTTTGAACAGGATAGTTGACTGCAAACATAAGTTTGTCCGTCCTGTGACTTTCAATTGTCCGTCCTGTTACCGACCGGTTTCTATAGTTCAGATTACATACAAGAATATTCAGTTAATTACACCTTATATGTTCAGGTGTAATCAATTGCACATACTTTTTTCGTATTTGTCAGATATTTCAAAATCTTGAAACTCCTGAACGTTATAGTTATCTGCAATCAAAGCCGATTGTCCGTCCTGTTACTTTCAATTGTCTGTCCTGTTACTACGTTGTCTGTCCTGTTACCAGCACTTAAAATAGAAATATACTGATTATTCTTTTTAATTTTTCAGAAGAACATATTTGAATTCAAACATTTATCATCTAATGAAGTAGATGTGTCAAATATATGATGCAATAATCAGGGTATGTTTGTCATATTGGATTTGAATGAATTCAAATGTTTTCATTTGACTCAAATGCTGGACAAATGTGTCCATTAAATAATGTATCCAATCTCTTTTTAATTGTACTCATTGAAATATTAAACAATACATTTAAAAACAAGAACTGACATGATTTGTGTTGAACTTTGAAAAATATTGTTACAGAAAATATAATTGTTAACATGGTAACAGGACAGACATATATTTCCTATTCAGTGTTAATTAATTATCATAATTAGGACATCATTGATTATTAAGGTGTCATTTTGCTTAACATTATTATTCAGAAGTTACTTTGTGTACTGAGTCAATAAAAAAGGAATTTTACAAAAGACAATTTTGATGTTTTTGCTTAGTTGAAATTCTGACATTTTTTTAGAATGACCCATCTAGGGACAGTGATATGCTGCTATGCCTGTTACCTAGCGACAGAGATATGCCCTATGCTGCTATGCTTGGTACCTAGCGACAGTGATATGCCCTATGCTGCTATGCTTGGTACCTAGGGACAGGGATATGCCCTATGCTGCTATGCTTGGTACCTAGGGACAGTGATATGCTGCTATGCTTGGTACCTAGGGACACTGATATGCTGCTATGCTTGGTCCTCAGGGACACTGATATACTGTTATGTTCATTACCCAGGGACACTGATATGCTGCTATGCTTGGCACCCAGGGACACTGATATGCTGCTATGCTTGGTACCTAGGGACAGTGATATGCTGCTAAGCTTGGTATCTGGGGACAGTGATATGCCCTATGCAGCTATGCTTGGTACTAAGGGACACTTATATGCCCTATGCTGTTATGCTCGTTACCCAGGGACACTGGTATACTGTTATACTTGTTACCCAGGGACACTGATATGCTGCTATGCTTTGCACCCAGGGACAGTGATATGCTGCTATGCTTGGTACTTAGGGACAGTGATATGCTGCTAAGCTTGGTATTTAGTGACAGTGATATGCCCTATGCGGCTATGTTTGGAACTAAGGGACACTGATATGCCCTATGCTGCTATGCTTGTTACCTAGGGACACTGATATGCCCTATGCGGCTATGCTTCGTACCTAGGGACACTGATATGCCCTATGCTGCTATGCTTCGTACCCAGGGACACTGATATGCTGCTATGCTTGGTATCTAGGGACACTGATATGCTGCTATGCTTGGTACCCAGGGACACTGATATGCTGCTATGCTTGGTATCTAGGGACACTGATATGCTGCTATGCTTGGTACCCAGGGACACTGATATGCTGCTATGCTTGGGACCAATGGAAACAGATATGCCCTATGCTGCTAAGCTTGGAACCAAAGGCATATTTGGGCCATCATATAAAACCATAGATTCCCTTCTACACAAACATTACATGAACTTAATAGCATGGTAGCCCAAAGTAAGTAAAATCATCTGAATTTGAAACAGTCTTTGTCAGATAAAGGTCTTTCTGCTTAATATGTTTGAGAACATCAGACACGTGGATACTCATAAAATTACAGATTTGCCAGTATAGAGGGCATAGAACACACTCTCTCTGTAGGGGTATGGGGGTAAGAGACGTAGTGCCTACTCACTGTGTACATGGCCTTCACTTCGTACAGGTCCCCAGTCTGGAATATGTCAAGGTTGTTCATGCCATACCTGCTGCATGCTGCTGTGAACATATCCAGATTCTCCATCTGGAATAAAAATATGGAGTTCTTTCTTCGAATTGTGTACAACTAATTTCAGTGGCAAAGAAATAGGTTCTGATGGCAATTGGATATATGTACATTCACAGTATTACCTGTTGAAATGGAGCCATTGATTTGTGGATTTTCGGTATAGACTTTGGCTGTATCTTGTTCATTAATCTGAAACAGAGACTCCTTGTGTCAAGACATGGGCTGGAGGACAGACTGCACCTGTGTAACAAAGGCAAAGACAAGATGGATAGAATGCCTCAGCCCAGTATGATCAGGGATCTTTTCGGCCCACTGAATATTAACAACGCGTGCCGGTCTGACGTTGATTAATGAACAATTTGCATACTCGCATACGCAAGGGGCCGACGTATGGTTCTCAGTAGGAAGTGACAACTTGGAGACGATGGCTTGCGGTATATACAGTTTTACTTTATACATGTAGATATATACATACAAAAGACACTATGTGCCAGGTCAGCACATAGTGGTAGTGGTTGTTGTCTAGGTGCCCCGGAGCACCCAGCCTAACCCTAGCTAGGCTAAGGGTAAGGCCTTTCTTTCTCTCAACCTCTCTGGACCAAGGCTTATATAGCCAAGGTCACCTGACATTTAGTAAGTAATAAATATAAATGTAAACAGTAAATCATCAGTGACATACTTGCACATCTCGTTCAGGATGGCAGACGGTCGATTTACACAAAAATGGGGATTAACAAATAGGATTAGCATCTTATAAATAACAGCGATTTAGTGTTTCAAGGCATATAGATGTCATGGCTCCAGGGTAATGAGCCTTTGCAATTAAATGTTCTTCAGACAATGGGTGTCGTAAATCAGTCGCTATGACAACTTCCTCTCTTATTTTCACCACTTGCAGAAATCCAACTCCATATTCAGAAGAAAGACTAAAAATGTGTCTTTTGAGAAAGTTTTTACTAATATTTCAACTTTGAGGGAAATCTTTACCCAAAGCTGAAAATCATCTTGGGTCTTGGATGTGGTCATTGAAGTCTCACGTGTTTGAAAAGGTCAGCATTGTTCACTCACTTCTGGACATACTTCTGAGCTTGGTGAGGTTATTGGACAATTATTTTATATAAGTTATATACAAGAAAGTGCTGGTTTTCAAATCGTGGGAACAAGTCATCACCATGGTATGCCCCACCCTTTTCATTCATCCATGACCTAGTTAGTCAAGCAAGGGTTTCAAATCATCATACACCAGAGACAGGTGGTTAGACATCTGCCTAGCAGTGCTGATAAGGTTTCAAACACAACACGACTGTGCTTGTCGTAAGAGGCGACTAACGGGATAGGGTGGTCAGGTTCGCTGACTTGGTTGATGCATGTCATTGATCCAAATTGCGTTGATCGATGCTCATGTCATCAATCACTGGATTGTCTGACCCAAACTCACTTACAGACCACCGTCATATAGCTGGAATATTGCTGAGTGCAGTGTTAAACAACAAACAAACAAACATGAAACACAACAGCGTTAAGCCCAGGAAAACAAGCTAACAGGTAATTGAGATCAGGATTTTTATTACATATCAGGTTTCGCCCTTAGAATCAACTCTGCTTATTTTTTAAAATATCTGGCAACTATTTACTTTCCTACTTACTCATGGTATTTCTAACAACACATGGTCAATGATAAAAAAATTACACCAGGTAACTAGTCCCTGTGGCAAATCATGCCAACCTGGCTTTGCCATGGTGATGAACCTCCTGTGTAATATCTTCCCACCAGATTAGCTCTACATTGAAACACAGAATATTTACCTCCTTAATATAAGTATATCATAAATCTAACAAATACAAGTTTAATGACAAAGAGCAAAAGTTTGGTGGACTAAAGTTTTATGACAGAATAATGAAAATCTGAAGCCACTCACTCACACAAGGCAACACCATCTTTGAGAACGGCTGCGACATCACGCTCATTCCGGAAGTCTCCTGATGCCGGCTGCAAAGTTCTCCCCGTCACCTTCTCGATCCACGATATCGCTTCCTTGGCCTTGTCCAGGTCAAACTTTTCCCTGGTCTAGAAATTGTAAAAAAGGGAGATCGACATATTTCGTCAACATTCTAGAAATCAACTTCCCTTGTTTTGCAACAACATTTGGCTCAGCAAATATAGTCGTTTCCGGTGTAGTCGTGTTGTCCATCTGGAGCATCAGCTGACCCTTCAGGAGTATCCTCGACTGTGACATACCACTAGTCTGTCTTACAGACCCTGATACAAATATAAATCAAATACAGCCCATGCAAGTCTAGATTACTGCAGTATCTGAAAATGAAGAGAATCACTGGGCTCCCTTTTTATTATATTTTTATTAAGATAACTGAGCAACTGTTTTTTCTGTACGATATGTTCATTTCAGAGACTAGATGTTAGTCTAACATACCACTAACTTGAACACAGGCCGATATGTCAGTTGAGGTCACGGAAGCATTTATGAATTAGCTAAGTAATTATCTATGTGATTTACCGAACATAAAATCGCGAATATATAAACAAATCTGTCTCGTTTGGCGTGCACTTTCATGTCACATTGAACGTTTCTTAAACAAATGGATGGAATCACTCATGTCTGGTCATGACACGCATGATGTTTCTGCAATGATTGCTCTCATGTCCGCACAAAATTGTACGACACATGTACATGTGGCTAACATCATTAACATTTTACCAACATAAGTTTACAATATTTGGGTTACCTCACTTTATCATCGGTGATGTTAGAAGAATACCGTTGAAATAATTGTTTGTGATGATATTATACTGAAGTCTTCCTTCCATGCCTGTTGTGAAACATACCTTCAGTTCAGGCTCTGTTCTTGGTTACTGCAAAGACGTATATATACGTCTTTGGTTACTGTTAACGTTCATGAATGTTCATCTTTAATTATATACAGCCATTTACATATGAAATCTGTTTAAACAAATGGCGTTGGTCTACATGTAACCCAGTATGTACATGTCATGATTATACTGCCGGGGAACGCAGGCCATATTGTTCTTATCACGCTCATTGAATTACCCGTCAAGCTGCCGACCAGCCATCAGATAAGCTGTGAGTCACAGAGGGTTGACCTCAATATGGATTTGGTCGTACTCAGCGAGAGGGAGTGGATGAGCGAGTAAGTAGTTTAACGCCGCTTTGAACAGTATTCCAGTTATATCATGGCGTGTCAGCTTATTGCAGGATGGAAAGCCCAAAGTGATGCAGGTGTCAGACGTTTACAACTTTGGTGAAACCCACGAGCACGGGTATGTTGATGACAAACCTAGAAACATAATCGGGGCGAACCGGGATTCGAACCCACAATCATAGGTTTCTGGCGTGCCCAAGGATCGAACCTCTGCATATCGAATTGCGATGCCTTCAACGACTGGGCCATCCGGGCGCCCCTGACAACGGCGTGTAGCAGCTAGTATACCATCGGACGTCACCGCAGGAGAGGATGAAAGGTACACGTGGGCTCGGTGCAACCAGAGGCGATAGACATACAGGGCCCCGTCGAGGGTTGCAGAGGCGATATAGACAAACGCGGCCGCGTCGAGGGTTGCAAAGGCGATATAGACAAACACGGCCACGTCGAGAGTTGCAGAGGCGATATAGACAAAACGCGGCCGCGTCGAGGGTTGCAGAGGCGATATAGGCACACACGGCCACGTCGAGGGTTGCAGAGACGATATAGACACACACGGCCACGTCGGGGGTTGCAGAGACGATAAAGACACACACGGCCACGTCGTGGGTTGCAGAGACGATAAAGACACACACGGGCACGTCGGGGGTTGCAGAGACGATATAGACACACACGGCCACGTCGAGAGTTGCAGAGACGATAATGACACACACGGCCACGTCGTGGGTTGCAGAGACGATAAAGACAAACACGGCCACGTCGTGGGTTGCAGAGACGATAAAGACAAACACGGCCACGTCGAGGGTTGCAGAGACGATAAAGACAAACACGGCCACGTCGAGGGTTGCAGAGACGATAAAGACAAACACGGCCACGTCGTGGGTTGCAGAGACGATAAAGACAAACACGGCCACGTCGTGGGCTGCAGAGACGATAAAGACAAACACGGCCACGTCGAGGGTTGCAGAGACGATAAAGACAAACACGGCCACGTCGAGGGTTGCAGAGACGATAAAGACAAACACGGCCACGTCGTGGGTTGCAGAGACGATAAAGACAAACACGGCCACGTCGTGGGTTGCAGAGACGATAAAGACAAACACGGCCACGTCGAGGGTTGCAGAGACGATCTAGACACACACGGCCACGTCGAGGGTTGCAGAGACCATATAGACAAACACGGCCACGTCGAGGGTTGCAGAGACCATATAGACAAACACGGCCACGTCGAGGGTTGCAGAGACGATATAGACAGAAGTATAATATTTTAACGTCTTTTGGTATGACGTATCCGGGGATCGAACCACCGACCTTCCGCTCTCCAGGCAGACGTGCACTGTCGACTAGCTTACGGACGCGAATATAGAAGAAAGACAAAGAAGTTTCCATTGTATATTGGAGATTTTTTCTTTTTCTTTGTTTGTTTGCTGTTTTACGGCGCACTCAGCAATATTCCATCTATATGACGGCGGTCTGTAAATTCACAGTCTGGACTAGACAATCCAGAGATTGATATCATGAGCATCGATCCACAAATTTGGGATACGATGACATGCATCAACCGAGTCAACGAGCCTGACCAGTCAATCCGGTTTGTCGCCTCTTACGACAAGCATGGGTTTGCTGAAGACCAATTCTATAACCCGCATGTTCAATGGTATGTATAGATTGCAGAGAAAAGAGAGACAAACAAGGACTATCGTAGATTGCAGAGGAAAGAGAGATCTGTATACGAAAAGGGACTCTCGTATGTAGGATGCAGAAAAAAAGAAAGAGAAAAAACATCCGTCGTAGGTTGCAGATACGATAGACAAATTATGTAAGGTATATCCTAATTTGCAGAGAGAGGTAGATTAATTGCGAAAGATGGTAGAAAGGCCAGGTAGGGTACGGAACAGTCAGTGGTATTTGAGGATTACAGAGAGGACTACGAGTCACGCACCTGTTGTTTGTGTAAAAGAAACTAGGGGATGTGGAAGAGGGGAGCATACTCCGAGGAAAGGAAATAAGACAGAAACTTCAAGAATGTATTGGGTGAATGGAGAGAGTATGTAGTGCGTGTAATTATAAAGTTCTCACTGTCTACAACCGCGGCATGCCACGATGGAGTATACCATTGAGCCATTACAACACTTATATCAGTTCGTCATCAATAGGTATAATTAACTTAAAATGTTTCCATGACAAAAAAATAAGTTAATGGCTAAAGACATCCTGTTGATGATGAATTAATAATTCGTGACAGTCCGTTTTCAGTGAGCATCTACCTTGACGGCTCGACAACATGTAACCATAAGGCCACGCCAACGTCGCCCCTCCATGTCTATACAACATTATACTAACATCATGTGAAATGTCGGTGTACGTATAATTTAGGTGGGGATGCAGAACATATAAATATGCTTTAGTAGCCGATCAAGTCACGTGAGTTGTTCAACATTTAACAAATACATTTCTTAACGAGCACATCGTCACCTGTATAAACGTATGCAACGTTTATGGTGCCGTAGATGACACTCGTTCGTTCACAATATATTAGCTCGCATTACAAAAACGCTCGGACTAGGGGCTCATTTATTCCTCCAGCTCTGTTTCACCTGCCAATGCACCGTCATTCATGTGAGAAGCCTATCGGACAGGCAATCTCAGTTTACAGTGTTCGCTTGACTACCAGCTCCCCGCTAAACTATATACACCACTATAAAGTACACTTTTCTCCTCCACAACCGTAGTCAACTTTAAAGGGTTTGTAGCTATTGTATTGTAAGTACTGTAAAAAAACACCTGCATTATCAGCCAGTCTCGGCAATTGGAAACACAGTATACTTAGTGTCAGAATTTTAATTATCATGTCGAAACTAAACTAAAAATATTAATGGGAACAAACTCCTGTATCTTGTATATTGAACACTACTGCAAGGCTGCTATCCTTTAGCAAATTGTGAAATGAAAAACTACTGACAGCCAAATGAAAACTATAAGCAATACTTACCAATACATGCTATACCAACTATAACATTTGACGTGACTTTGACAACTGAGTAAGAAAACAATAGTAAGGTGAACAAAATCAAATAAGAAGTTTAATCGTATTGGCAAACTATAATTAGTTAAATGTAGATACGATTACCTTTTTTTGGCAATCTAGGCTTAGCCCATACGACGGTCCCCGGTATGCCATTACTTAGTTGTAATATGTTAATAGATCTAATGTTGTAGGGTATCTGACGGCCACGGGCTGCTTCGTTTTCTCAGCCAGCCAATGGTAACAGCGCTTTGTTGTTGACCAATGAGTGACGATCTCTCAATCAGTTGCTGTGGCGCCATATTTATAAAATTTATTTCGATATTTCGTCTTGCCATTCACACGTAAATATATCGTATCATACGTATACAATCATTTTCTTAACCCATGTATCTTACAAGGTATCTTTCCGCGATATATCTGACTCAGCATCACACGTACGGTATGACATGATGTAAATATCGCAATATATTGGTCAATAAAACCAGAGACCATATAATAGACATTATCTAGGCATATATGTTCTCTGATAAAACATAATATTGTCCTTCACTTTGCCATCGAGTTCATTGGAGTGTGAACCTCGAACGTTCATGCAGTTTGGCCTCCACTTTATGAAGGTTCATATACCAACCTACGCAGAGTAAGTGTCAACTTTCTCAAATCAACCGAGGCAAAACTTTCGTTTCGTAGAACTTTATACGAAATCAGTGCTAAAGTTTCAGGAACTCAAGTAAACTGAACAAACACACATTGAAAGTGATAAACATATGAAGACAATAAGGCAGAGCGCAGTTTCTGTGATTCACCCAAATAAATAAGTTTGGTACAGTGGTCATCATTAGACCCCAGTTTTATGCCTAGAACACCCCCCCCCCCCCCCCCCCCCCCCACACACACACACACACACACACACACACACACAAAACCTTAGGATATCAGAAATGAAACAAGATTATCATTAAGTTCAATTAATACAAATGCTCAACACTCAAATACTTTAACACTATTTATACCACTTTCAGAAAAACAATGCAATGAAGGGAAGTTACTCTACGTGATCTTGGACAATGAATGGGGAACGGTGTTTGGAAGGATTGTCAGGCTTCATTTATCCATCAGCAGAGTATATGAGAGGTATCAGTATTCTACACAAGGAACATGCCAGTACTTGCTCTTACTTTGTACTTGTATGAAGTATATCATTTAGAGTTGGTGGGTGACTTGAAATGGGATTTAACATCACATTCAAGATTATTGCACTTATATAGTGAGTCGGGTGTACTTGTGTGGCTGCTTGGACTAGCCTGAACTAATGCCGGTTTTATTGTGCTAGCCTAGTCAGTACTGAGATACCATAAGGCAGTTTCACATCCCCATACAGACACAGTATACTGACTCCTAGCCACCCAATTCTTTTATCCCCTTAATGCCAAGCACCAGGCAGGGTTACAACAAGTACCATCATCATTTAAAAGATGTGTGGACAAATGTATAACAAGATGCATCAAAATCACATTTGTCTTTGAGACATAAAAACTGTATTATATAGAGAATAAGGTAACTCTATAATGTCTAAAACATTTACTACTATTCACTATATACATGACAATGTTCTAGCCACATTCTTTAAAAAAACCATTTTACTCTACAAGCCTGATCTTATCTTTTGGCATCAATTTTTGTAGATTTCTGTCCTACTAAATGAACTATTATTAGCTGATACTGGATAGAAAGAAATTTTATTGAGAATCATGAATGGTTAAAGTAGATGGTAAGAGTTGGATGCCCCAAATATAAACTAACCATGGGCATTCAGCAAGCTTTATAACATTTTATGTTCTTCTCCAGACTGGGGTGAAAAGCTTTGTGTACCATTGATGTGTCACCATTAACCATGTTCTCATTTTCTTGGTGCAGTGGGGGTGGTCGGGTAACCTAGTGGTTAAAGCGTTCACTCGTCACGCTGCAGACCCGGGTTCTATTCCCGACATGGGTACAATGTGTTAAGCCAATTTCTGGTGTCCCCTGCTATGATATTGCTAGAATATTGCTAAAAGCGGCGTAAAACCATACTCACTCACTCACTCTTGGTGCAGTGTTTTAAATTGAGCATGGATGGTCCCAAGGTTCAAATACTACAGCAGCAAATGTCAAGGAGCCCTGGACCGCCCTTAGTTTTAAGCACTGTTAGTGTATCATCATACCAGAATCAAGGCCTAATTATCCTGGTGTATCATAATGCCCAAACCAAGATCTATCTGTCTGTTTTCTGGTTAAAGAATAGCTAAGACAGTGGACTTCCTGTCAGCTTCCTTCAAAGTCACTTGTAGATATAGTGACTTCTTTATGATGAAGTTTGTGACATATAATCACAGTACTTGAACTGGGTATAAAGGCAAGAATGCAATGTACTGGACACCTTCCGCAATTTTGGTAAGGGATATGGACAAGCTCATTCCTTAGGTTTCTATATTTTCACAGACACCATTTTTGTACCCTGTCGAAAACAACAGGGGATTTGGGGGGCTAACAGTTCAACGGCTTGAATTAAATGCTTTCATAAGAAAATGAAATGCTTAATTACCAAAGTAGATACAAAATACTTTATTTGTAGCATAAAAGAAACATGGCGGATTGGTGTCAGGTATAATGCATGTGTACCGGTGTAAAATATTTCAATAATTGCATCATTTAACTTGGACACACTGAGACGGAAATAAAGCTGTGACTAGACCATTACAAAACATTGGAATGCCAACATGGATGTATGAGTGCAAGCCTTATGGTGCTCTGCTTTTGTTTGATGGGATGTGTGTCTCAATGACTTCAACTAATCTACAATGAACTAATTGAAGACATGTTTGCTTGCTTTCCACTGAAGACAGTTCCAATGTGTCGTCGTCGTCACCGCAGTGTGCACCATGCTTCTTCCCCCACCACTGCCTGGCGAACAACACTTGTCTCCTGGGCACAACAGGACTTGGCTGTGAAGTGTGCTTCCATGCAGGGACAGACCAAGGTAATACCTTCATCATGTCAGCAGTTATCACACAACCAGGATACAACATTATTCAAAGTATAATGCTGAAATGATGCACATAAGATATATGTATGATACATAGTAAGATAGCGGATGTACGTTTTCTCAGCTGAACCAGCTTTTCATATATGAAAACTTCTGCATTTAAATTTTAGCTCAAGACTACACTAATGCATTATATTAATTGTTCGACTTAACAGAATGTGTTGGGCAGATTAAAACCAATATGTATTGAGGTATCAAGTAAAACTTAAATCAGTGTCACTGTGCAATGCATATCTCAAAATATATACATATATATGCGTTCACAGAGCAATAATGAGACAAGGGCAAATAAACTAACATCTTGCCCAGCCTGATATTGAACTTGCCCTTATAAATCAGAGAAAGAAGAAAACTTTTATTTTAACAACAAAGCTTTATTTACGGAAGCAACATCTGATGGGAGATGTGCAGAACAGGAAAATGAAAATTTTCCTACTGCCCCAGAATTTTATTTTCACAGGTCAGGTAAGTGGGGCATACAAATTGAACACCCCTGGTTTAGAGACATCAAACAAAATTACAAGTTGATGCTTATACAAAGTCCTTTTTTTCCATCAAACGTGAACGCTTTAACCACTAGGCTACCCCACCGCCCCTTACTAGATGAAGACAAAACCAATACTTAAGTAAGGATAAGATAAATTGATGAACAACTTGTTTTTTACATTCTAAATGCCTCTCAACGAAGCTATACTTGATCAGACTGAACGATGGACTTGATATTACACATCCAAAATGTCCATTAGTACAATGTACACAACGAAGCATATTGTGTACTGTACCCGAATGTTTCAAGGTGTATCATTATATCTAGGAATACTATGTGAAACCATTTACAAATTGGTTCAGTGATCAAAATTGGCACTAGTCCTTGCCAAGCTGCTCAATAGTTAAGATATCATAAGGACAAGCTGAATTTTACCATAGGGGGGGGGGGGGGGGGGGTTGCTGTATGTTATCATTATGAGGACTAGTGGACTAAACATGTTAGTTTCTTGGTTCACAGATTCCACCTGTAGTGTTCTTTCAATAACCAAGAGACAACCTGCCAACTTCCCACTTCGTTTATTTCTCAGACGACAAGTTACAATCGGTAGCCAAGCCCGAGCACGCATTGCACGTGCGTTACGTAACAACGTTTTCCGAACCACTGATTACATTACATGAACGACTTCTGTTTACCATCAGAATTTATCAAACAAAACCCTAATATTTTACACTTTTCCCCCTGAAAAATATACAAACATAACATAACCTGAAATAATAGTACGATCTTACTGCCGTTTCATAAGCAAAGTATCCAAATCAATGTTTATCGTTGAAACACAAATGTCACACTGACCTAAAATGCGGTCAGTAGGTCAATACCTCAATCCAGTGTCAACACACGAATACACTATACGAGGTCACTATGACAGGATTGTTACAAGGTCTGTGACTCAGGTATTTAAGATGCCAGCAGTGTTAATGTGACACTAACAGTTCAATAAGACAGTCTATCTGGTTTCTTCCTCTCCCTAACAGGATATCTTTGGGTCGCTGTTTCTGTGACAGGTACAATTTCAGCCTCTGGGGGCCTTGTCCCAGGTGGAACACTCTCCACCCCGATTTCCCCAGGAAATGACCCCTTGGTACTTTCAACTGGAATCTTCTCTACCCCAGACATTTGCACACTTTCAGACCTATCAGGGATTGTTATGTCCTCAGTAGTGGATGTTACTGATAGATCAGGCGTACCTGGCATAGTTATTAGCTGATCAACATGGCGCTTCCACTCAAAGTTCTCTACCTGAACCTTGTAAGTCACAGGACCTAATGCTTTAAGTACAACCCCCTGGAGCCATTGTTCGGTACGTCCCCTGTAGTCCCTCACCAGGACTGGGTCGCCAACTTCGAAATGCCTCCCAGCATCCACTTTCGGAGACACTTTTCTTTGAACTGAAGAAGCAATATCTGGTCTCAGCAAGTCGAGTCGAGTACGAATACGCCTCCCCATGAACAGTTCTGCAGGGGTCGTTTTCGTTGTACTGTGAGGTGTGGTTCGGTAGGACAGCATAAATCTGCACAGTTGCTGTTGAAGAGTAGACGTAGATGCCCTCATGGATTTCATAGTAGTCTTAAACGTTCTGACGAATCGTTCTGCCTCACCATTAGAGCTTGGGTGGTACGTCGAGGACAGAATATGTTTTACTCCATTTTTCTTCAGAAATGTCTTGAACTCGTGAGAGGTAAACTGAGGTCCATTGTCAGAGATTAGCTGATTGGGAAGGCCATAAGAAGAAAAGAGCTTTCTCAAAACATTTATGGTACTTATTGTTGTTGTTGATTTCATCTGAACTACTTCAGGCCATTTGGACATAGCATCCACCACAATAAGAAAGTTCTCACCCATAAAGGGGCCAGCAAAGTCAACGTGAATCCGTTGATAAGGACGGGAAGGCCAGATCCAGGGATTCTGTCTGGTTGTAGGTGGGACCGGTTGTACACTTTGACAAGATGCACAGTTTCTAACTAGCTGCTCTATGTCCGTATCCAAATTAGGCCACCACACATGAATCCTTGCTCAAGATTTCATGCGAACAATCCCCGGATGAGAGTCATGAAGATTATCCAAAATCTCAACTCGGTACTGAGTGGGTACTACTACTCTCACTCCCCAAAGTAAGCAGCCCTCTTCACATGTCAACTCGTCCTCCCTTCTATAATACGGAAGGAATTCAGGAGAAATATCTCCTACTGAAGGCCAACCACAAACAGTGAAATGTTTCACTCGAGATAGCACTTTGTCTCGTACAGTTGCAGCTGATATGTCTCTGGATGTAACAGGCAGATTATCTAGCTGAGCAATATGCACTGAAGTAGCTTCTCGTGTCCAAAATGTGTGTGAAGTGGATTTCTGACCATCGGTATCTGCTAATGGTAATCTGGAAAGGCAATCTGCATTAGCATTTTGTTTCGTGGATTTATACTTGATCTCGTAAGTGTAAGCTGAAAGCTGGATGGCCCACCTCTGCAGTCTTGATGTAGCAAGTACAGGAATTCCTGTTTTAGGTCCAATAATACTTGTTAGTGGCTTGTGGTCCGTAAACAGGGTGAAATGTCTCCCATACAAGTACTTATGGAATTTCTGGATTCCAAAAATGATAGCCAAAGCCTCTTTCTCAATCTGAGAGTAGTTTTTCTCAGCGGCTGTCAGAGTTCGTGAAGCAAACGCTATAGGTCGTTCCCCAGAATTTGTATCATGAGAAATGACTGCACCTAAACCATGCTGAGATGCATCAGCCGCCAAGATCAGAAGCTGTTTTGGGTCATAATGCACTAGTACATCAGATGTAGTCAAATGCTTACACAGTTTCTGAAAGGCTTTCTCACACGAGCTGTCCCAATGAAACTTTGTTCCTTTCTGCAGAAGTTTATTTAATGGTGCACACACTGTGGACATATCTGGTATAAACTTCCGGTAATAGTTCACACACCCCAAAAAGGATTGTAGTTCTGTCAGATTTGTTGGTCGCGGTGCATTCCGGATTGCTTCAATCTTGGATTCCGTCGGATGAATACCTTGACTGTCCACCCTGAAACCAAGGTACTCCATAGATGGTTGCAGGAAAGTACACTTCGACTTCTGGCACAGGCAAAGGATACTGAGAAACCTCCAAGTCTCTGTTCACTGTCAGCTTATAATCCCCACATATCCTCACAGCGCCTGAAGGTTTGAGTATCGGTACAATGGGAGCAGCCCATTCAGAATATTCCACTTTCTCAATGACCCCAATCTTCTCTAGTCTATCCAATTCCTCAGCTACCTTATCCTGCAGTGCATATGGCACAGTTCTTGGTTTATAGAACTTTGGTTTTGCTCCGGGTTTTACAGACAGATGAAGCTTAACACCCTTCACAGTTCCCAAACTGCCATCAAATAATGCTGAATACTTTGACAACAACTGTTCCAAGTCCTTCTGGGAATTGTCAACTCGCACGGTATTGACTCTGCCAATGGAATACCAGTCAAGCTGAATCTGAGATAGCCAGTTTCTGCCTAGGAGCGCCGGTCCACTTCCTGTCACCACATATACAGGTAAAGTGATAGACTGTTCATTATAGTCAACATCCACCTGTATTTTTCCCAAAACAGGTAACTTTTCTGCAGTATAAGTCTCCAAGTAAGGCAGGTTGGTGGTTTTCAGTGGAATATGCCTAAAATCTCTCTTGTACTGCTCCTCCGAAATCAAAGTTACTCCAGCTCCAGTATCCAACTCCAATGAAATGTTTGACCCTTCAACACACATAGGAATGTAGATGGGCTTATCACCTGCAATAGATTTTACAGTGAATAAAGTATTACTCAATGTGTCCTCATAAGAGTCTGCATCCTCATCACTGCCATCAGGTAGCTCATTTTCCACTGTTGAATCCATATACCTGACTTTGGATGATTTTTTCTTAAGTTTTTCTGGTTTATGGGCCTTCTTCTCCTGTGGTTTCTCATGGCACCTCCTGCTAATGTGTCCTTGCTTCTGACAGATATGACATATGCTTTTCTTGTAATAGCAATTGTCACTGTTGTGGTTTTTCTTTCCACAGCGCCAACATTCACGGTTATCCCGAGACATCGATCCAACTTGCTTATCTGAATACTTCCGGTTCTTGTCAGACTTCACTAGTACATTCACTTTATGACTAAACTCATTGGTCTCCTTATTCGCAGCTTCCATACTCAAAGATATTTCCATTGATTTCTTTAAGTTCAAATCCTTCTCAGCAAGCAATCTACGCTGCATAGCTGCTGAAGCGAGTCCACACACAAACATGTCTCTCATTGCATCATCAAGAAATCCACCAAAATCGCAATGTTCACTCAGTTTGCGTAGTTCAGCCATAAATGCACTCACTGATTCACCAGAGCGTTGTTTTCGCTGATAAAACTTGAATCTTTCAGCGATAACTAATGGTTTGGGATTCACATGGCTTTTTACGACATCAACCAATTCTGCATATGACTTGTCAGCGGGTTTTGCCGGTGAGACTAAAGTCCTCATGAGGGAGTAGGTTTCCTTACCTACTACGGTAAGCAATATCGCTTTCCTCTTCCTGGCATCTTCAACATCGTTAGCGACGAAATACTGATTAAGTCTTTCAATATACTCAACCCAGTCTGCATTTTCAGACACTGAAAATTCCTCCATTCGACCATATGTCGAGGACGCCATTTTTAACAGCACAGCGCACACTACAACAAGCGCTATCAGTCCCATTAACACAGAGCGAATGTTCGTCACCAACTTACAGATTGGTCTTCTTGGTACCACACATGTAGAATCCCATCCTCGTCGCCAAAATTGTAGTGTTCTTTCAATAACCAAGAGACAACCTGCCAACTTCCCACTTCGTTTATTTCTCAGACGACAAGTTACAATCGGTAGCCAAGCCCGAGCACGCATTGCACGTGCGTTACGTAACAACGTTTTCCGAACCACTGATTACATTACATGAATGACTTCTGTTTACCATCAGAATTTATCAAACAAAACCCTAATATTTTACACCACCAACCATAAAATTATGAAAAGTCGGGAAAAAATAATCTGTAAGCACTATTTTATTTTTGGTCAAGATTGCAAACTTGCATATACACCACAAGATAACAGTAATGAAATAGCCAACATGAAAAACATGTGAGACAAACTATGACTACACACATGGTAAGATATTCAGATAACTTTTTGAAGAACGAAAAACCTTATTTGGGAATGTCCCCACCTACCTAGCAGGGTTATTGTCAATATCAATCTGTAAACCAAGAATAAAGAAAAAACCTTGCATTACAGCCTAATCCGAACAACATGCTTCACAACATCAGGCATTTATCTATTTTCTTCTTATTCATGCATGTGTATTATGGTTCCAGTTTCATGAACAGAACAGTACTAATGCAAGAATAGTTTCGGTTGTGTGAACATCTCTTTACTTTTCACACTTTAGCCTTGTCAGTATCTTCCAAAACATCAAAAGGCCTTTTGGGCTTACCTGTTGTCATTGGTAGTCAACAGAGTAAAAATAAGAAAATGACTTAACTGATTTATGTGTTTTGATAGGTGCTATAGACAGTGCAAAGGTAAAGATTTTTGCAAAGATCTATAATTCCTTAAGGTACTATTGGAACACTGTGGAGTAGTGGATGAAACTATGTCTTTCTATGAAACTATGTGTTTGTTTAGTCTGTAGATTTATTCATGTTCTAGTTAAAAACACATTAATTAGCCTAGAATTACATACTAATGTGGCAAATATATCTATTAGTATACACAATGGAACTTCCACTCATCATGAGTCAGTATATATTTGTTATGTTAACTTGTCTTACCTGTTTGGTCTTCTTTTCCTAAGGATTTCTTATGGTCATTCAGAAACAGATTATAGAAGGTTCAGCAGCTGACATAGTGTTGTTAGCACGTAACATTAGGCATTCACTGAAAGCCCCATGTTGAAGGTACCCTTTGGATGAGTGGTAAATTGTCACTTTTGATAGTTGACTAGTAGCTGATTCAGAAAAGAGCTGAGAAAATATAGTTGTTTAATAAATAATGTTTAGTACCATTGCAAAGGCACTAGAATATGAGTTCAATATAACAGACTACTAGTATTTGTAATCTCATGATGACTGTATATCCTTCAAAGTATTCTCTCATTCTGAGCTTGGATACATTTTGCAGTAATACACAGTTCTTGGTGGTTATTGGCCCTTGGAATCATACTGTTCATATATACAAAGTCCTCACTTATGTTTATAGGGGCAATGAGAACAACCTTTGGTGTTCTTCTATATTTCTCAACTAATTAATTATATCCAGCCATAATTACAACCAGTGTATGCACTTTAGGTAGGAAAGACTGATTGCGTAACTGTTTCATGTGCAGGTTATCAACTGGTTGGAAACACATGTTTTGTCTGCAGCCTGACTCCTCTAGCTGCAATAGCTACAGGCATCTACATTCTCCTCATCATACTTTGTGTGGCTGTCAGTGGACTTTCAGCAGCGGCAGTTACAAAGGTGAGAATCTAGTATGACATGTTCAAGGACGTAACTATGCACACAATACAAATTATGAAAATTGTTTAAATTAAATCTATTGTTAGATGATAATACAGCCCTATGGAGAAGGCATTACCTGAATAAAATAATAATGCAGCCCTATAAAGAAGGCATTACCTGAATAAAATGATAATGCAGCCCTATTGAGAAGGCATTACCTGAATAAAATAATAATGCAGCCCTATGGAGAAGGCCTTACCTGAATGAAATAATAATGCAGCCCTATAAAGAAGGCATTACCTGAATAAAATGATAATGCAGCCCTATTGAGAAGGCATTACCTGAATAAAATAACAATGCAGCCCTATGGAGAAGGCATTATCTGAATAAAATAATAATGCAGCCCTATAAAGAAGGCATTACCTGAATAAAATAATAATGCAGCCCTATGGAGAAGGCATTACTTGAATAAAATAATAATGCAGCCCTATGGAGAAGGCATTACCTGAATAAAATAATAATATAGCCCTATGGAGAAGACATTACCTGAATAAAATTAATAATGCAGCCCTATGGAGAAGGCATTACCTGAGCTTTTTCCGAGCTTGTGGTTTTGCATGGTTTTAACCAATTTATGAACCTTCTAAATGCAAGAAATACTGGAAAAAGTAAGAAAACATCAAGATACCTTATTGTGAAAAAATACAGTGTGTTGCTGTATAAAAGCATGTGAGAGAGAAATCGTGCAGCATGGACACAACGGAAGTCATAAAACGTAGGTCTTACAACTGAAATGTAAAACCTCAAAGCAGGTTTAGAAGTGACCCATTTCAAAAGCTTGGTTTGGAAGAGAACCACTTCCGAACCAAGGTCTGAAAGATGAGTTTGGTTACTGATATACTTCCCATCTGGGTTTAGCCGTGGCTGTCAGGAACCTAATGCTAAATAGGGTAATATAGTGATACGTTTATAATTAAGAGTATTCCTATCTCAGGGACATCATATTGTTTGTATCTAATCATAGCCCTGAGAAATAATTTGAAATGACTGGTTTTATTTTGCAGCTGAAGATATTGATAAACTTTGTGCAACTAGTTTACCTGTCCTTCTTTGTGAAAGTACAGTGGCCGTCATTCATGCCTCATCTAGCTGCTCTTCTGTCTTTCTCCACCTTCACCTCAGACATTGTCATGACAGGTACCTGGATTCATATCAATATCATGATAGAATGTGCTCTTAATGTTGGGATTTCTGTGTTAGAGATGTTAGCCATTAACAAAACTTATTATCTTTTCTTCCCAGTATATATATATATATACTTGAATTCAGGCCTTTCTTTATGGCCTGCACAGGTTCTCAGGGCTGTCATCATTGCTAGCTCTGTGTACAAACCCACATATGAAAATGTTTTATGAGCATCTTTGTTTCAGAGTGCCTTTTGCCTGGTGTGAAGCTGTCTAGTTACCTGCGATGGGTCACTGCTATGGCTATCCCTAGTGCCATTGTCTCTTTTGGTAGTTGCGTGGACCGGGGATTGGTAAGTTCATTCATATTAATAGAGGTTATCACGCGAGTGTGTTTGGGGATGGTAAATATCCTGCATTAGGAATAAACATTGTATTTAGCGAGCCTTGGCGAGCTAAATACATAGTGTTTATTCCTAATACAGGATATTTACCATCCCCAAACACTCAAGCGTGATAACCTCTTTATCATATAATGTCATTCTTTAATTCTGTGCTTAAAAATCGCTTTCCCTCTCTCACAAACATAAATGAAACATTGTGAGTTTTCCTGCAATGCGCGCATTAATATCTATTACGTCAGAGGGTTAGTGACGTGTCAGTCGGACAGTGACAGTGGCCAATATAGTTCCGACTGAAATCTGTTTCTTATACAGTGGCGAAGCAACATAAACGCAAAACAACAATTGTTTTTAGTTGCCTTTTGCGGCAATCCATCGGTCTGTTGGCTGGAGTAACTGCCCTTTGTCAAAGGGAAGCTACTCTAACCCTGTCTCTGAGACGTCACGGCCACGGTCAGACCTTGTTGACAGTCGGTCCGTCCTGTCATAACGTTACGAAGTGTAGTCAGATGTACACACAGCGACAAAACGCAACAAGGTAACAATTCACATACATTTCGGCCAAATCCAACTATTTTAATTTGTGGAGAAGGTTTCAAGCCGCAGAGGTCTACAAGCACAGATATGGCTAATGATCCCGCTTGGCTAGGCCTCGTGCCCTCGCAAAATTGTTTCGAAATTTATATCTCCAAAGTTGCCAAAACTTATAAAATGCCTTATCTACGTCACAGTTAGACACTGATTTTCAGTATATAAGACTGTCCTTAATAATGATAGCAATTATCCCTGTAGTTTATCTAGATTGCTGATGGTTAATTCTGACTCGATCCCCGAATGACGAGGGCGACGCCATGTTTGTTTATAAACAGAGAAAGTAGTCCCTACTTGACCTTTGATATTTGCATCTCTATCCGCATATGACCCCAACGGATATCGTTTTTATCCGTTGGTTTTATCCTGCCGAGAAACCTACCCATTATATGATAAACACATTTATTTTGTTATACATTCTGCCTACAGTTGTTACTGCCAAGTGGAATACTGTTTCAGAGTCTGCCACAGTTTTGGAGTCAAGCATATTTAGTATTGATGCATACTTCTTGGTGCCAGTGACTCACTACACAATATTTATTACCAGAAATTCAATTTGAGACATATTGTCATTCATTGTAGAATAGACTGTATGATTCTCTCCGAATATGTTGCAACTCCAAATGCAATTCTGTTGCTATGATTGTATTGATACACATATTGTACTGGGAAGTGAAGGATCATGTGTACCACATCACATCATGAGATACCTGTGTCTTGGTCATATTTTAGGTGAGCTGAAAGTTCTTCTCACCTTACTACCTGAGTGAGCTACATGTTAGAAGCAATCTAGATGAATGTCTGATGATCTGAACAGTAAACTGCTGTGCCTTAACACTGAACAGTTCTTGTGTAGGACACCAAGGTAAAGACTGCCAAGCATGAGTCTGCGCGAGTGGTGGTGGAGAGGCGCCGGGCTGGACTGCGCTACTTCCTCTTCCTCATCGTCCTCTCCTACTACATGCCAGTAGCTCTCAGTGCTATCCAGAGTTTCTCCTGCACACAAACGTTTGGACAGGTCAGTCAGACAGATAAGTACTATCCAGTAGCAATTGCTTTCACAAAGACAGATGCAAACAGTCAGCTTTAACCCATAGAAGACAAATTGTTGATGTGAAAAGAAGTGTTTGTTTTCATGCCTGAATAAATTACAAGTAAGAAAATTTTTGGGATCACTTGTTGAGGAAGCTATGTTGTGTGACTGGGGTGAAATGTTTTGTTGGTAAATGATGTAATTACCTGCAGCAAATGGTACATGTTTATATTAGTGACACAGGTCTTATTGGGGCAGTGTTCAGTGACAAGTCAAGCATCTTATTAAAGTGAAATATACTGGTCCTTTTATTTATATGCTCATGCTTGGGTGTGAAGGGCTGCAGCAGTTCTTTGCATAAATAGATTAATAAATAAATAAGCAATGCTGAAGTAATGAGTGGTGTGGTATCTGTTCTGTTTAATCTTTACCGTACAATCAATTGGTCAAATATGACGAGTTAAAGGGGCACTGATCTAACGCAATTCCCCGGACTGGTTGTTGCCTTTGTTATTGTTTTTTCCCCGTGAGTACCCGGATGATACGCAACGCAATTGAGCTGTCCAGAGACTGGGCTACCGTCTGCAAAGACAGCTGAATAAACTTGGAGGCTGGAGGCAATATTTGTTTTACGCATTTTTGAACACTGATTAGTTTAACCGTGATCTATAAAGATTTCGACAAAAGGCGCATGTTAATTAATTTCTTCAGCCTAAACAAACAGACAAAAAGAACGGCGGAGCTCATCGTATGTCGTCATTTGGAAATACCCCAGATGGTTATAGTTTAATAATAAAAAAAAGTATCCATGCAGTGAAAGCATTTTCGCATTTCGGATTGCGTCGATAATACGATTACTACTTACTTGTTGTCATCCACGTTTTCTGGTATAACCCTACACTTGTGTATTTGTCGTCATTCACTTGATGCTCAGTTAATGAATTTATTACAGGTACAATTAGTGGTAGCACCACTTAGATTACCTGACAAAGGTTCCCATTTGGCATTTATTGTGTCTGGGGTAATTATTCAATCTAAATCCAGGTTTGAAGTGAGGTGAAATGTGTGTTGTGTAATATGCACGTGGCAGCCCAGCAAGAGGTGAATGATCAGTTGATTTACTTTTTTTGTAAATCAACGGATCGTTCCTAGTCATCAAAGGATTAACAGAAAATACGTTGATTGATTAATCACTGTTATCTTGCACAGTGGATATGTCAAAAGGGAGTGTTTACATGTCTAGGTTTACTAAAACAAAGGGAATACACTCATATCATGGCGTGAAGTGTCGATGTAAAAACAACATACTTTGTTCAAAGGGTTAACTAATAATACGTTGATTGATTGCTCATTGTTATGTATCACTCAATGGATTGTTTAGGAACCGTGGAAGTTATGAAAATAGTTGTCACGTGGGCTTTCTCAGCCGACCCTTGAGACTTGACACCTATGTGAAACACCTGAAACAATCTAAGTGATCAGTTGAGAAAGGAACACGGGTTATAATATCCCGAAACGATATATATCTTTAAAAATATTTGATTGTTACAGAGACACGTGACTTCGAATAAGTTTCTTTGTACAGCTGCAGACGAGTGGGATATTGTTCCTTTGTGTGGATAATCACGGATACATTCCTCGAACAAGGAAGCTGCCCAAAATTGATACACATAAATTTGGTAGGTTGTAATTATGGTATTAGCATTTTGTTTTCCTTCATTCGCTGTAGCATTGAACCGATTCGTACTTGTTCCTCTACGTCTTGGTTGGGAAATTCTTCAGATTGACTAAAATTGATTAAGACGATCAAAAGGGCCTAACAACATCACAACAGATTATTATGTTGGATTAGAAGCCAAACAACATAGAAATGTACTTTTCAACGTAACATTTTCAGTCTCTTGGTGATGACATTAAACATCAAAATGTTTGGAATTCGTTATCATAATAATACAGATGGAAATGTTTTTCAGTCACTTTGTAAAATAACTGAATATTTAGACGTTTAATAAATTTGTTACACATTTTGACAGTAAAAAAATATACACACTATAAAAAAAAGCAATGCCTCAGGTGAAATATTTACTTTGTGTTGCAAGTCAAAATAGTGTAAACGAAAATCGCAAAATTACCAAGCAAGTGACTTATCAAAATTTCGTCACCATTACCGATGCTACCCGCAAAGATACCTACATTTCCTTATTATCTCGAAAACTGTATTTCATTTTGTCGATCAATGTGACCATACGCCCTTATTACTACCCATAAAAGTGATAATGCGCTTACGAATGGCGCAGCAGAGGTCGCGAACTAGTCTAGATTTCTGCTATACATCCGGGTACTCACTGGGAAAAAACAATAACAATGGCAACAACCAGTCCCGGGTAATTGTGTTAGATCAGTGCCCCTTTAAGGCATAGTCCAATCAAAATCGTGTAACGGTTCGTAAACAACATGACGACTCTTGTGCAGATTCGTCGATTGCAGGATTTGCAAAGCATGAGTACTGCCATTTGGGTCTGGACAGATATTTTACAAATCTTTCCATGTTTTTAATCAAGGTGCTCAAGTGATTTGATGCATTTCCTGAGGTAAGACCCATTTTATTACAATATAGATCATGATTATCAATCACATTGTCTAGACTGGGCTGCCATGTGAGAGGAGGAATTGGTCAACAGGAGAGACATAGAAGGGACACAACGTGTAAAAGCCACTGGTGGCGCTACGATCAAGCCATGAAATTCCAGCCTAGTTTGGCAAGGGTGGAAACTGGACTTTTATAGTCAGTTCACTCCCTTGCCTCGGGAAGAGGATATGGATATAACATTTATCTATAGCAAAACATTTATATGATTGTGTTATTCTATTAATAGATTGATGAAATGCAGTGACATCAGAGTTGAAAGAACCTTGCAGCACCTTCACATGCAGCTTTGATGTAAAAATTTTACTTGTGAAGTGGGAATTAATTTCCTTTTTGTTTGATATATAACGAAAAATATGACAAACTACACCTGATTAACGGCAGTTCAAGTTGTGCAGCAACCACAAAACCATGAAATCAGACATCCTTTATCCATGTATGTAAACTTGTTTCCAAACCAGAACTTTCATCATAAGATTTTCATGACCTATATATATATGGGACAATATTAAATCACCTAGTGCAGGTAGCACATCAGTTTATTCAAACAGTCATTGAAGTAAATGAAGCAACTCATACAAAAGTTTGTCATGTTGTTCCAAGGTACACACCATTATTAGGACTTCACACAGACAGGAAGGCCAAGCATTGTCATCACAGCACGTCATAGAGTAGTGCCAACGTCAAGCTGTATTGATATAATTGCCTACCATTTTGGTTAAAAAAGAAGTGCTTTCACAGAAATATTACCTTCACTGTAAGGCAGTCATAATCATGCTCTTCAAATACTGTAAATCTTGAAATTAATGTGTCTTCAAATTAATATGACTGCTGAACCCTAGTAAAAAATGCAACCCCCCCCCCATCCCCAAGTGGAATGACGCGACATTGGGGTGTAAATAGCTAAATTTGAGTCGACTTGTATGTCGCTCTCGCGTTACATTTGCTAACGAACCAATTAAGTTCGGTTTTAGTGCACAATGCGTTTAAGCTCCCATGTCTAATCCTGTGAAAACACAATAAGGTCTTTAAAACAACACAGTAATCCCTATCATATTTCACATCACCACCATATGACACATAAATAAGATGTCTTTCTTCTTTTAATAATAAAATAAGATAATAAAAAGTTTTGTCACTCTCATTTTATTCACAAAGAGTCTGGATTCGGTTGTTGATGTTAGTATATCTCCTCCTCTTTGTTGGTCGCTTTCCTCCAGCTTCATACTGCTGAAAATTTACTTATAATATGCTGCGATACAAAGACATTCTTGTCGAAGGGAAGGTTGGCATGCTGGCAACTAGTGTCTTCATATCGTCATTCCAAGCTCCATCTCACAGCTTGTTGACGTCCCCTTCATACAGGCTCGGCAAGGATGTTGTCTCTTTTGCCAGTTTTTTACCTTCTCGATTGTCTCTTTCACCTGAAATAATACAAACATTGTCTTAAGAAAGAAAACAAAATAATACTTTAATACTAAGAATATAGGTATTTAATGAACTATTATTATAGTTTTACTATTATTAATAGGAATAAGGAATAGGAAAAAAAATACCTTAATGTCAACTGGTTTGGGGTCATGGTTGTGTTCCCGGTTAATATTGGTGACCAGGGTGCCGTTGTACAAAGCGTTCTTAGCTCTAAGGTGATCGTAACTCCCATACCTTAACATAGACTTACGACAGTCGTAGTGCTAAGGTTGTTTTGTACAACTGCACCCTGGTCATCTTTAGTCGAAACATGTGCAGGACATGTCTTTTCAAGACACTGCCAAGACTGCCACGTGTCTCTCTTCTTATTGCAATGGAACATAATCCCTTGAAAACAAAGAATCCTACCTCCACGATGAGATGGTATGAATTTGATGTCAACTTGAGCGTTTGCCATTTTGCAAGTAACTTCACATTCGACTTCTTCTTTATTCATATCTGTTATCTGAATATCGCTCAATCAATTAATCAAAACCGCGGTTATAACGCTCACTTAATTAATTAAGATTGACATTGATTGAACATGCCACAATGATTAGTATGATTACTAAATCATAATTAATTACTGAGATGTGGTCATAGTGAACATACTAATCCTATGTTAAAACATACTAATCCTTTACGTAAACAGATTAAAACTTCAAAGCATAACCGCATGTCGCCCTCGCGTTCAGTCTAGAAATTCAAATGTCGCTCTGGAGTGACGACACCACATCCTTACCTTACCTAAATCCAATCAAACAGCAAAAAGCACCGCTTATTAGCTCTGTGTAGAGAATTTCTGTAAAAACAATAAACAGTGTTTTCCTAAAAACAACACACAGTTTATATGATTATTATGTTGACTGGTATTAAGGAAGTTCAAAGGCAAAAAAAATTGAACCCACAACAATTCACTGATTGGTAACGGGAGAAGGTTTCAACAAACTTAAAGGCAGAAGACAAGACAAAGGCTGTAGATCCGAGGATAAGTGCGATGAAGCCTATCGGTGTGTGTTGGGTCGTGTCAGTCTTTGACGCAGTGTTGCGTGGGTGGCATCTGTCTGGACTGCTGGAGTCCTCAATGATACCTCGTTTGACACGAGTGAGTAGAACTTTTGTTGCCAAAAGTGATAACTCACCGGATGCTCATTGTGTAATTTCTATTCTTTGAATGACATTGTTATGTAATTGTTACAACTGCTGCTCAATAAAACAGTTGTTTGTGTTTATGATTAAGTTGGTGTGCAGTGAGGCTGTTTTTTTGTTAATAGTCATTTTGGAGACATAAATGCGAAGTTTAGTTAATGCGAGCAAAGACCACTCGCATTTTTTGCTTTTAATTCACGCTCTCGTTAATTTCAAGATTAACAGTATTTAGTACTGCTGGCAGACCAGTCTGAATGCAGGATTCAAAAGTCTTGAAAACCATACAACATTTCTTCACCAACTTGGCACACAGATAGATCTTGTGGTGAACTTGTGCCTTTTGATAGTTTCGGATTTTCGACTAAAAATATTTTTTAAAGTTTCTATGGCAACAACTTTGACTTAGGTTGGAAATGGCTGTAGTGCTCGTTTCCGGAGCAGATCTTGAGAACCGTACAATATTTCTTCACCATATTTGGCACCTAGCTAGGTCATGTGGTGAACTGGTGCCTTTTGATAGTTGGGATTTCCAAAAGAAATATTTTTTCGAGTTTCCATGGCAACAAAATATAGATAGATATACATATATAACTAGTTGATGTATTTGTGACAAATATTTGCCATTGAAGGGGATATTGATGACTTTGTCTTCATGTTTCAATATAACAAATCGCATTGAATTCTGATACCGTCCATTGTTTTATATCATTGAGAGCCGCGTCGGGATTCTAGGTTAGAATTGGTCCCCAGCAGCAGATGCTTGTCATATGAATTAATGAATTGGTGATGATACTTGGTGACCTGATTGGTACCATGTCAACATGTTCCAATGGTGTGAATCGTTACTCGTATCAATCACTGTATTGTCTGGTCCAGTCCTGATTACTTACAGGCCTCTGTCATACAGCTGGAATGGTATTAAACAAACCAAGCCATATCACTGAGAACTTCCTCGTACATTCTCTCTCCAAAAGAGCAATCCCTGATGTCATGTACACAGTGACAACGTCTTATAAACTTGTTGAAAAAACAACAGTTTGAGGGATTTTCAGAAATATGATTCAACCTTGTTAATCAAAGGACTTATTTGTTGATGCATGATTGGCTGTTGTTTGTTTGTTGTTTAAGGCCACACTCAGCAATATTCCAGCTGTATGACGGCGGTCTGCAAATAATCAAATCTGGGCCAGACAATCCAGTGAGCATCGATCCAAGCAATTTGGATACAGTGACATACATCAACCAAGTCAGCAAGCATGACCACCAATCCCATTAATCGCTTCTTACGACAAGCATAGTCGCCTTTTACGGCAAGCATGGGTTGCTGAAGACCTATTCTACCCCGGATCTTCATGGGTAGCATGATTTGTATGTTGTAGAATATGGTGCTGGACACAGGCCTGTTTCCAGACAATGTGTTCCTGTATGACCACACCGTCTCCTGTGATGACTTCGTATTCCAGGTACATGTTCATTATTTGCCTCAGTGTGGCAGCTCAATGATAAAACCATGGACAAGACATCTGTTTATGCTAACCACCCAAAATAACTGTCTTTCCTCAATCTTTATTGTTACTACAACTTGTATTGTACAAGTTGTTAGTACTTTGAGAATGCACCTTAAGCCTGCATAAAACAATGTTGTTACTTGTGATTGACTGAAACTGAAGGTCAAGGTCGTATTTGTTATTTGAGTCTTTGTACTAAAGATTTACTGTATTTGGTATTGTTTTTCCTGGATGTTTTTGTGAAAGTACATAAGCAACTTAATAATTGACTTTGTAATTCAACTTTCACTCTGCAAATGTGTTTTCAAAAGCTGTAAATGATATCATTTCATCGGAAGTGGTGTCAGTAGACTGAGATTGCATATATATGTCATGTTGAAGTAGTGAGAGGAATGGACTTTCAGGTATTCAATTCAATCACATTGTTCTGCACTTCATTTCTGATGAAATGATATTTAATGTCAATGTGTTTAAATCTTTGCTGAGTTACTGGATTCTTGGCGAGTGCTATTGCTCCCTGATCATGAACTTTCCCTCTAGCTTGTGTTGCTGCAGCCATTGCCGTGTACTCTGCCTCGCACGCTGACAATGCCACAGTCATCTGCTTCTTGCTTTTCCAGGAAATCAAGGGTCCATTATCTTTCAGCTGGAATCCGTAGCCAGTGATGCTTCTCCTGTCTGCAGATGAACCCCAGTCAGCATCACATGATCCCACAAGTTGTAGAGGATCACATGATTTTACAAACGTCAGTCCTTGTTCAGCTGTACCTTTGATAAACCTCAGTGTGTTTTGCCATGCCTAAATGGGTCGTTGTGGGCTTAGCCATACACTTTGACAATTTGGTCACAATATAACACAGGTCTGGCCGTTGTAGCAGGGAGTGGAGTCATCTACAGATAACATTCTTAGCTTGTCAGCTTGCTGATGGGGTTAACCTCTTTGGTCATGTGGACAAGGCGTCCGGCCTCTGATCAGAAGGTCCGTGGTTCGAATCCCATCACGGGACTCGAAAATTTTATGGCTGCTACATTGGCGCCCAATGTGGGGCTGAGCACGTTCATGTTAAATTTGAGCAAAATAAGCCGCAGTACCCTACTATGCGGCCCGGGACGTGCCTTCTGTTGACGGGGGAGTATGTAGCAGGGCGTGGAGTCATCCCACAGATGACATCCTTACCTTGTCAGCTTGCTGACGGGGTTAACTTCTTTGGTCATGTGGACAAGGCGTCCGACCTCTGTTCAGAAGGTCCGTCGTTCGAATCCCATCCCAGGGCTCGGAAATTTTATGGCCGCTACACAGTCATAATATAGATCAGACTTCCAACATTCTGTAGAGTCTGGGATCTTCCAGTTTAGTTGCATTTGTCTTCCTTTCTTTGTCAGCACCCGGGTCACAAGGAGTTGCCTTGGGTTTACAGTCCATCATGTTGAACTTCACCAGCATCTTCTCAATATGTCTTTTCTGGTTCATTTCAACACTGTCGTTCTTCCACTTGAACTTTATTCCCAGAAACCATGACAGCCTCCCCAAGTCCTTCATCTTGAATCGCTGACACAAAGAATCTTTTATCCCATGAAGTATGGTCGTCTTCTCTGCACAAATGATGATGTCATCGACCCATACTACCATAATTACGAATGAATATTCAGTCGTCTTGTGGTAGACACAAGGATCAGCAAGTGGTTCGAGTACAGATCTTCAACAAGGAACGTGTAAGGAATTCCAATTCCTACCACTTTGTTTCAGGCCGTACAGGGATTTCTTCAACCTCGAAAACAAGTTTCTCACCAGTCTGTGGCTTTACTTCAAAACCTTCCGGTTGCTGCACATATATCTCACAGTCTACTGAACTTGACATATCTCACTCTTCTTACTTCATTTCTCTCAGGAACGTATACAAGATAAGCAGGACTAAGTATCCCACAAAGAATCCCTTTACACTCCGTTCGTCTGTTCTGGGTGAACAATACCTTCCAAATGGCGTGCTGGTTTTCTTGGGGAATTAGTCAGCAAAGAGCCGGAGTCACAGGAGACTAATCACAATTTTATTTACAAGAACAATTAACAATGAGCAAGTTACTATATCTTAGAAAAATAGCTGAGGGTGCCACAGAGAGTCGGTACAACCCTCTGCGCTGTGGGAGAGAGATCTGCTTGGTAAGAGTGACAAACCTCTTCTCTGCCATAACAAGAGGTTTCTGTATGTATTTAACAAAAATTAGAACAATAAAAAGGAATATGTTTGGTTGATACACGATTGGTTGTGTCCTATGCTAAATGAATGGCTATACAGAGGGGAATACTTAATCCTGTTAATCCTGTTGGACTGGCACTAATCTTGTTGACATATTTACTGGATGCTTTGAAAGAGATTATGGTATCACTATAGACGAGCTTGTGTTGGGGCTAATCCTTAATGCACTATAGACGAGCTTGTATGGGGGCTAATCCTTAATGGCTTATAGACGAGCTTGTATGGGGGCTAATCCTTAATGAGTCTAAATTGAAGTAATTGCTGAATGTTATTCTAATATAGGTGATGACAGATTTACTTAAATAAAATAGTTCAAGGTAATCTATAAGACTATGTAGACATATCTTTTGTCTGGGAGATGGGATCTTGATACCTTAGGCTAGCATTTATCTAAAAGCTTCAAATCAATTAAACTATGTAGATGTAACTCTTGTTTTATTGAATAGTATGTCTAGGAGATGCGCTCCCATTACCTTAGGCTAGCATCTGTCTAAAAAACTATAACTGAAACTACTGATTTATATATGCATTTTACCTGATGATAAGTATTATTTGCTAAACTATTATATGAAATGATGTATAAATATTACACCATGGTAACTCATAAAAGCACTTGATGTGGATCTAATTATTATAGGATAACTTCGTATAAATGTTACACCATGATAACTTCCCCTCCGTCTGAAAAAGTTTGGACCCCAAACGTGTAAAAAATAAATAAATTATGGCTAAGATGGACAATGTATTAAGTTAAACTGGTAGTATAGTAAATAACAATTATTATAGAGTCTCTTTGATATAAGGAAACATAATGTAAAAGTTCTTTCTGCTGTCATCTGGGAATATGGATGTGGAGTTGGCTTGTCTTTGCACTCTGTACTGGTGGTTTATGGGTGATGTAGGAGGCCTTGAGTTCCACATCCTGGTTTGAGGTTTTAAGATAGTTGGCTGTGTCCATTATCCGTTATAGAGGTTTTACATGGAAAACAAGGAAAAGAGAGTTAGCATGTTCAAATAGTATGTCATATATAAAAATTATCCATACTTCCTCAGTTCGTAAGTATTAAGTAGAAAATAAAACAAATACGATAATTATGATGTAAAGATCAGTACATAATTATTTCTAAATGGTGTCATGACCAGGAAGAATGTATTGGCGGCAAATTACACAAAGTCATGGATTAAAAATATCCTTCTATTTTTGGATACAATCATTAGAGTGAGTGAGGACTGCCTCCGTGGTCTAGTGGTAGAGCGTCCGCTTTTAGCAATATTCTGGGAATATCACGGCAGGGAACACTAGAATTGGGCTTCACACATGTCGGGAATCGAACGTCTTCGGCGTGACATGCGAACACTTTAACCACTAGGCTACCCGACCGCCCTTCAATCAATAGAGACATTACATATATGTGTATGTGCATATAACAAGAGCATTGATTCGTTTCGCTTTGATTTTCATTCGGTTCAATGCGATAGGGTTTGGTTTAATTTTGCTCCGGTATGGTTTGCATTGATTCGTTTCGCTTTGATTTTCGTTCGGTTCAATGCGATAGGGTTTGGTTTATTGTGCTTCGGTACGGTTTGCTTCGCTTCGGTACGGTTTCGGTTTGATTCGCAGTATGGTTTGCTTTGCTTTGGTACGGTTTCAGTTCGATTAGCAGTATGGTTTGCTTCGCTTTGGTACGGTTTCCTGTTTGATTCGCAGTATGGTTTGCTTCGCTTTGGTACGGTTTCGGTTTGATTCGCAGTATGGTTTGCTTCACTTTGAGTCATTTCGATTTGTTTTGGTTCATTTTGGTTTGACTCATTTCGATTCGTTATGGTTCACTTTGGTTGGCTCGTTTCACTTCGCTTTTGAGATTGGTTGATCAGGTCAATGCTCAAAATTTGTTGTGATACAAATAACTCAGATGATCAGGCTGATGCTATTTGTTCTCAACTGGCGAATCTGGTGACCCAAAGTGAAAAGACTGGACACAAGTAAACATAACAAGATACAGCTAATAGCTGTTTAGTGATTTGCACCGTATATTTAGGAGATTTTGTATTTTGGTCAAGAATATTTTCATTTGGCATCTACAGGTATATATGGGGAGTATATCATGGTATGGTTGACTGGGACTACTGTCTATGTAATACGGATGTGAAATAAGGTAGAAAAAGGTGTTGATGTTTCCAGTGTCTATATGTGGAAAAATAACCCTTGTGGATTTATAAATTGGTAGTTCATCTGGATCATATGGAGGATTATCTTCTCCACAGGACCACTTACAGAGATCCTTCCAGCTATCATCAAGGTAGCGCTGTATGAGGTGGAGAGGAACACTTTCAAAATAGCATGTGAGGTGATTATGATCATCTTTGTTATTGGTATATGAGACCTTGACATAGCAGTCTCCTTGAATAATTTCAATGCCCATAACTCTTTTTATTTTATGATCTACTTTTCGTAGGTGTTTTGGAAAAAACAGATACGGTTTGACATCTAATTCTATGCATGGTTTGGTGTTGTCTTGCTGGACATTCCCTGACATTGTATTCCCTGACAGAACATTGACTGATTTATTGTCTTGTGCTGATTCCTTTTGGTCGAAAAACTTATGATTCTTCAGTGGACGTTTTCGTCGTTTTCCTGACATACTTCTTTTGAGGTGAATTTCTCTCCGAATGGAGTCTGGAATGCTGCTGCCATACTCC